GCTTAGGTCACTTTCATTATCATATTTCGAAAGATTAAGAAATACTATCCATTCATTTATCATTCGTTTTTATATAATTGTAATGTAAACCGTTTAAAAAACTTCTCAAACATGTAAATTAAATCCAAAGTTTTGAAATTTTTATTTTTGAAAATTATTATGTAAATAAAATCCGAAGTTGTACTATATATTAATCATATAGCTCAATAGACACTTAAAGTTGACGAAATGCCTCTTCAATACTTGACCTTCGAGAGGTTATGATTTAAACCAAGATAAACATTGTTCTCATTGGTATTTAGATTTTATTTGTGTTATCTTTCAAAGATTTCACTTTAAGTCCCTCAAGAATGAAAAGTTTCCATTTTGGTCTTTAGAGTTTTAAATCTTTTCAATTAAGTCCTAAAAGAAAATATACGAATGCTAAAAGTGTTATATTTAGCTCCCGTTTGGTACGGATAAAACTCTAGATTTTAATCACAACGAAAGTCAATAATTAGTTTTAATCACATATTTAATGGGTTCCACAACTTTTCAAACACACATTTTATCAATTTTTGTCAAAATCTACTAAAAACTTGATTTTAATACTCATCAAACAAGGGCTTAATATAAGGCGATGATATGATAACAAAATGTTCTACTTTGAGCCTATTTATTATAGAGTTGCTGTTCATAGTGATGATTATCGACCGTCGCCCTACGTAACATATATGTCGAGGTTTTTAATTTTATACATTAATGGAGTTACATGTATGTCATATAGGACGACTATGGATAGTTTTTAACACGAATAACATTCCTCTTTATTATATGTAATCACTGACACATGACAGCTTAGAGAACGTCAACATTTGTGTGTCGTGAAAAGCACCTAATTATAGACTATCACGTATCAATGCTATTTTAAATACTCCCGTTCTATGTGACATATATGTGGAGGTTTGTGATTTGATACATTAATGGAGTTACTTGAATGTGACGTAGGATGACTATTGATAGTCTTTACTATGAACAACATTACTCTTTATTATATGTAATAACTGACACATGACAGCTTAGAGAACGTCAACATTTGTGTGTCGTGAAAAGCACCTAATTATAGACCATCAAGTGTCAATGCTATTTTAAATACTCCCGCGCCATCCACTCCACACCATACAAATCTTTATCTAAGCCTATGTTTTGCTCATATTTATAAATTATTAATTATAAAAGCTTAGGTCACTTTCATTATCATATTTCGAAAGATTAAGAAATACTATCCATTCATTTATCATTCGTTTTTATATAATTGTAATGTAAACCGTTTAAAAAACTTCTCAAACATGTAAATTAAATCCAAAGTTTTGAAAAAAAAGAATTCGAAAATTATTGTGTAAATAAAATCCAAAGTTGTACTATATAATAATCATATAGCTCAATAGATACTTAAAGTTGACCACAATATGCGAAATACCTCTTCAATACTTGATTGAAGATCCCAAAAGTTTTAAAATACAGACATATCATAAACGATCTTTAGCTTAGAGAGGTTATGATTTAAACCAAGAGAAACATTGTTCTCATTGGTATTTAGATTTTAGTTGTGTTATCTTTCAAAAATTTCACTTAAGTACGTGAAGAATGAAAAGTTCTCATTTTGGTCTTTAGAGTTTTAAATCTTTCAATTAAGTCCTAAACAAAAATATATGAATGCTCGGAGTGTTATATTTAGGCCCTTTTTGGTAAGGATTAATACCCAGATTTTAATCCAAGGGAAGTCAATAATTAATTTTAATCGCATATTTCATAGGTTCCACAACTTTTTAACTGCACATTTCATCAACT